GGTGCCCCCCTGATGGTTGATGTGGTAGACAACAGAGGTGTTGTCTGACCGAACAAGTACATGCCTCCCTTCCAGGTGAGGCAGGAAGTGTCTTAGTGCCAAGTGCACTGCACGCAGCTCCAGCACATTTATATGCTTGGAATGGTCTCTTTGACCCCAGCGGCCCTGAACCGCTCTGCGTTGCCATACAGCCCCCCATCCTATGGAGCTGGCATCTGTCGTGACCACTTCCCTGCGACACACTACCACTCCCATGGGGACACCCCTGGACAAATAATCTTCGTCCCTCCATGGAGTCAAGGCATGAAGACATGACCACGTCACTGCGAGCTTGCGATGCCTGTGCAGCCTGGCATCCAGGCGAAAGCTGTTGAGCCACCTCTGCAAGGGGCGAAGTGACAGCAGGCCTAAGGGCACCACCCGAGTGACTGATGTCAGCTTGCCGAGTAGTTGCAGGAAGGCAACATAGGGGAGCTGCTTGCCCAGCCTGAACCGATTGACCAGCTGGAGTATGCCGGCCACCCTTTGAGCGGATGGGCGAGCTCTCATTGAAGATGAATCCAGAACCACCCCAAGAAAGGTGGTCGTCTGGGAAGGGATCAGGCAGCTCTTCTCCAGGTTGACACTGAGGCCCAACTGGGACATATGAGCGAGCAGGCGGTTTGTGTCGTGAAAGGCACAGGCCTGAGACGGGGCGCAGAGAAGCCAATCGTCTAAGTACGGCAGAATCTTCACTCCGCAGGCCTGCAGAGGAGAGAGGGCTGCCTTCACGCACCGAGTGAACACCCTTGGGGAGAGAGAGAGCCCGAATGGAAGTACCCGGAACTGCCAGTGGTGACCCCGATAGGCAAACCTGAGAAAGCGGCGATGTTCTGCCGCAATAGGCACATGAAAATATGCATCCTTCAGGTCTACAGACGTGAACCATTCTTCCCTCGTGACAGCTTGAAGGACTTCTGCTGTTGTGAGCATGTGGAAGGGCAGCTCCTTTAGGTACTGGTTGAGTCCCCTCAGGTCTAAAATGGGACGAAACCCACCCGTCCTCTTTTGCACAAGGAAGTAAGTCGAGTAATAGCCCCTGGGTTGTTGCAGAGGGTCCACTGCCTCTATTGCGCCCTTGGCCAGGAGGGCGGAAAGTTCCTGGTCTAGTGCTTGAGCTTTCACCGGGTCGGCAATTACAGTCATCTTGACCCGGCCTGAGATACGAGGCCGCCGTCGGAACTGTAGCCGGTAACCATGGGTCAGAGTGGCAACCACCCATGGGTCCACGGCATGAGCAACCCAATAACTGAGCTGCTGGTGGGAGAAATATCCGACTGTCGGCCTGATGGCATCACCGTCTCCCTCCACGACCCCTAGGGGCCGTGGGGGGGCGGCAGCCAGAGTCCCTGGTCCGAGCCTGCCCAGCTGGTCGGTGGACCAACCCACGAAAGCTCCTGCTGGGCCTTTGCTGAACCGCATGAGGGTAAGGACCACCCGGCCGGTTATGACCCCCAGGCGGCGGCTGCATGCTAGAGCCAGCCGACAGGCGCCTTGGATGCCGAGGGGGTGGAGGGGGCATTGGCCTGCTAAGGCTCGAAAACTGCTGCCTTCTCTGTCGTGCCTGGACAGTCCGTTCCAGCGCTTCCAAGGCAGCCGAACCGAACAACTCCCCCGGCACCACTGGGACATTACGGAGGGCTCTACGGCATGGCTCAGTCAATGCTGACTGCGCTAACCAGACCTGTCGGCGAGCTTGGACCAAGGAGGACATCACACGCCCAAGCTCCCTCGTCATTAGTGCAAAGGCCTGAAGCACTGCATCGTTAAAGCCCATCGCTGCTGTCGCACCACTAGTCCCTTGAAGGGACGCGGAGAGGGCAAGCATTAGGTGTGCCAAGGAATTACCTAGGCGGCCAGCACGCGCTCCGGCGGCATAGGCTCTGCAGAGGAATTCATCCGTGACACGACACTGAGCTCGTGGGCACCGAACATGACTGCGCAGAGCTTCATCTGGTGACACGATGAGAGAGGCAACAGCAGGTTCTATCGCTGGCATGCGATCCAAGCCTGCTGCAGCCGGCTCATGCATGGCCGCCAACACTCTGCCATCTGCAGAGAGGCGCGCAAAGGCCTTGGGGTCCCGCCAGCAACCATGCAACTCCCTCAGGAACCCCTCTGATGGAGGGACAGAAAAGGAGGGAGGGGTCAGTCCGCGCCTGAAGAAGGCACTTCCAGGGGTGGACGCCTCTGGTTGCGGTACGTCCAGCTGCAGTTGTCTCAGGGCCATACGCATGATGTCCTGCATCGAGCCGTCACCCGACCCACTAACTGCACTCCGAGAAGAAGAGAGTGAAGCTGTCTCTGAGACTCGAGATGAATGCCCGTCCTCCTCACCTAAAAAGTGAGAGGCAGAGGCAGCCAAGGATAGCACATCTTCCTCCACAGCCAGTTCAGGCATGGGTGGGGAAGAGAGTCCAGTTGCTGCCACTGGTTCAGTTCCCAGTTGGTGTACCTGAAAAAGGGACTTCATCTCCGCTAATTCAGCGGAGAGCTGCTCCACCCTTGTGGAGAGGCCCCTATCAGACCTGGCTCGCTTCTTCCCAGGAGGGGCCACAGAGACTGCGGCCTCAGTCCGGCGCTTCGAGCGCCTAGGTGGAGCCTCCTGCCCAGAAGGCGGGAGGTCATCGCCGAGTTTGGGGCGAAACTGGGCCAGCCGGGCCACCCTCACAGCATGCGACATGAAGCTGCAATTCATGCAGGGGTTCTCTGACAGGGCATCCACCAGATGGTCATGTCCAAGGCAGGCAGGACACAGGTCGTGACCGTCATCTATCTGGAGCATGGCTCCACAGACTGTACAGCAGTGAGAGCCGTCCATGCTCCTTACCCAGCTATGCCCAAGATATTCAGAGGCTAGCACCACTAGCTCAGCTGGTAAAAGAGGACAATTGGGAGAGGGGGCGCGAACGCTCGCCTTCACCAATTAAAACAAGGTTAGAACTCAGAGAGGCTAGCACCACTAGCTCAACTGGTAAAAGAGGACAATTGGGAGAGGGGGCGCGAACGCTCGCCTTCACCAATGAAAACAAGGTTAGAACTCAGAGAGGCTAGCACCACTAGCTCAACTGGTAAAAGAGGACAATTGGGAGAGGGGGTGAGAACACTCGCCTTCACCAATGAAAACAAGGTTAGAACTCAGAGAAGCTAGCACCACTAGCTCAACTGGTAAAAAGAGGACAATTGGGAGAGGGGGTGAGAACACTCGCCTTCACCAATTAAAACAAGGTTAGAACTCAG